TACTTAAATGATGTAAAAATGATATTAAAAAATTCGGGGCAAATTTGCCCCTATTTTGCATACGGATTAAGGGATAAGAGCGCGGGAGGAACGCTGACGAGGGGAGGGGGTAATGTAAAACACAGAATCAAGTTGGTCTCGACTTAACATCGCATGATCCAATATCAATGTTATCGTGTATTTATGATCATGATTTACAAGTCGTGGTTGGTTAACTGAGTTTTAATTCGAGATTGTTGTGCTTATGTAATAACGTACAAAAAATAACAAGAATAAAAAAATCCATGAATGATCATAAGAGTTTGCACGATAACATTATGTTATTATATCTAATACTAGTGATTTTTAATAATGCAGTGAAATTTCCGTAAATGCACTCTGTTTGGACCAAATTTTGACACTGCGTAATTAAGAAAAATAATAATGTAAGTTGCATTTAAAGGTCAAGTAGTACATTTAGTATTAGGGGGCGCTGTTTTTCTGATTTTAGTGTTCACTTATTTTTGTACAAACACCTAAAAGGAAATAGCCAATCAGTGAGGCCGATTTTTGATCATCCCGATGTAGAATCCAACACGTACGAAAGAAGCAAAAGAGCAAAGAAAGCGAAAACTAATGTTTAAATCGATCTTGATGCACTAATTAAAATGATTTTACATATATGAGTATTACTTTATTTCTTTATTATTCCCAAGTTAATGCCCTAATCTTAAGTTTCTGGTTACGGTACTTCCTTTTAGGGTTTGCAAATTAAGTAAATCACCCGGTACATACGAATAATATCAACCTTTTTTCCTGGCTTTTCTTTTTTTGGACTTGCAAAAATAAGTGTGTACGTACGTACTGGGCACGACATGAAAATATATGTACGTACCTGGTACGTACAGTACGTACGTACGAATAACGATAAATCAATCTATCAATCCTTTTCCTTTTTGGACTTGCAAAAATAAACAGTACGTACGTACGTACGTTGTGAAGGGGTAGATCGTAGCTTGTAATAGGGTTTTCTATATTTTGGTGGATCGGATACATATCTGGCTTAGCCAGCTTGGCGCGCATCTTGAACATTTTGTACATAGTGCACATAGTGCACATATGGTACATATTCCACATAGTGAACATAGGGCATATGTGGTATATAGTGAACATATTCCACATAGCGAACATAGTGAACATGTTCCACATAGTCAACATATGGAACAAATGTAATATAGTGAACAAAAGTTACATAGTTAACATAGCGAACATAGTGTTTATGTACCAATAATTGTAAAAAGATATAAAAAACCCACCCTTTCGCTCTAATAAAGATTATCTCAATGAGTTCAATAACTCAGTGAGTTCGAAAAGCTCTCGAGAGTTCAAAGGTCTAAGTTAAAGAAATCAGAGTATTTAACTTGTGGGTAGCTCTGAGAGTTCCAAACCTTCGAAATTAGAGTAGAAGTGTTGGATTCTATTAGTTCCCCCCGATAAGTGAAATCTGTAAATAACGATTGGAATTCGTGACCAAATCCCATGACTCTGTGTAAAAAGATTCGTGACGTAATCAAGAGCTCTAATCCGACACTATTACTAAGAACCCAATTAACCCTGGTTACTCGGACCAAGTCTTTCCACGCCTCGATCGTTGCCTACCACTACTAGGGTTTGGTTGTATTAGTTGTGGTGTTCTGGTTAGAGTAGATTAGTTAGTTTTAGTTTTATTAGTGTTGTGTAGTAATGCATATCGGCATTATCTAGGATCAGAGGATATATATTTCCACTTTTACACCGTACTGGTCTTGCGCGGCACCACGTGCTGCGCAGCTACCTTATTTCTTAATTAAATTTTTGAGATAAAGGCAGTTTTTCTAAACGTTTTGATCGTGTGATGTTACACCAAATCAAGATTTTTTATTGGATAATTTAATGTAGATCGTCACGTGATCGCAAAAATTTATCATAGTTATATAGCAATTTTTGTTGGAAATATGATTTTATTATCTGATCGGTTAATAAACAGACTCATTCATGTCAGCAATTATTAAAATAAATACTATACAGTAATTTGATTAAATCTAATAACTTGATTTCTTTTTATAAATTTTTAGTTTATCTTGTAATTATTTAGATTTCAACTATGACTTCTTTTGATTATCGTGTATTTTTTGTCTCCAGCTTGATTAGAACTAATAACCTCATCTGTATGACTTTTGTTTATAAATTGGCTATAAAATCATTCTATATGAATTTCAATGTGATCAATTACTTTTAATTTTTTATTTGATTCAGTGTTAATATTTTCATTACTTTTTTCATCTCCTTGTTTTTTTTCGTGATCCAAATTATTTTTTGTAATATCATTTAAGTGACCATTTTTTTCACGACCATCATTATCATCAAAATTATCAAAATTATCATTATCGTCATCATCATCATCATCATCATAATCATCATCCTGTGTGTAGACATCTTCATTTTTATCTAATTTTGGTTCGAAATCCCTCCATGAGTTTAGTCTTTTTAATTTTGGTGATATTGGACTTTTTTGAATTTGTATTTTTTCTGTGGTAGTTGAATCAAAAATTGTTGGTAATTTTAATTCGTTAATTGCACGTTCTGCTTGACAATTTATAACATGTTCATTTTCAACACGGAAAATATCCCATTGTCAACGTCTATATATTTAAAAAAATAAATAATAATAAATGCAATTTTTAATAACTATAATCTTAGTAATAAAGGATTAATCATAAAAAATAAATAAATAAATAAAATGGTTACCTAAGCATTTCTCCAAAGGCAACAATGAATCGGATCGAAAAATTATCAGAAATAAAGAATAAAATCCAAGTAATCCTCAAAAATGTAATGTTACACATTCCAATATAGTAAATCCATTTATGCTTATAACCTAATTCATCTCTTAACAAAAAATTAGAACTATGAAATTGTAATAATGCCCAATCTTGATTTATGTCCCATATATTAGAATAAATAGTTGAAATAATTTGTACAATAATATAGAGAATTTTAGAAATAAGGATCTTATTATAATTATCTGCATCATAAACAACTATTTTGCAAAAAATTTTTTATAAATTTAGATTGGTTTTTTATGAAATTTAAAATGCAAAATATTATTATAAACCTGTATATCTCCAATAAAAGATCAAGCATATAGTTGCCACCATGGAAATATATTTGCCCGCATTTCCAAGATGTATTACTGCATTGGTGTCATAATAACGTCTTATACATTGAACAGCTCTCATTGCAGAACCAAAAGAACCCAAAATTGGAGCGAGTGGTGTTATGATGATGGTCAAGTTACAAATTTCTTGTGCTAAAATAATTCAACAATTGAAAAATTTTAATTAAATTATAAATAAAAGTTATAAAATAAACTAAAAAATTAAATTCTCTAATTATAAAACTTACATATAAAACAAGGAATTAGTTGCAGAGTAACCAAAGAATAAGCCAAGCTGTTAAGATGATCGGCAAAGATGAAATCTCGAAATTCGATACCAACAAAAGGTGATATAACCATATGACCCTATCAATGATATTACAAATATTACAAATTAATTCTACCGATGAGTTTTGCGTGCATCAAATATTGATAAATTATACCAGACTGTAAATAAGCCAACGTCTTGCATTGTAATAAAATATTCGAAAAGGACAAAAAACAATAGCGAGAATTATAAGTACTAAAATCAGTGAGTAATAAGATTTCTGAATTCCAAATGAATTCGTAACCTCAAAATATGCCACGGAACAAATAACCATAAGCATAAATGATGGAATCTATAATGAATGAGAAATAATAATTAGTAAAGAAAATTTTAGCATATACTAAATAATATAATAAATAGTAATTGCCTCGATATATTGACGGAAATCCAGATTATTTCTTGGGTCAAATTCAAAGATGAATTTATAATTAATGTGCATTTTTGTCCAAATGTACATAGCAACACCTATAAGCAACAAAAGAATTGCTGGGAGAATCATTCCGGCATAGAAACTTAATTGTTGAACTCCTGCTTCAGATCCAATTACTAAACATGTTAAGTACAAATTTACATACATTAATATAAAACTATGGAAAGTGAAATGAAAAAAATAATATCAAATTACCATATTTTAAGGTATTGTATAAGGAAAGAGTTGCTAAACCAATGTATATTCCTGATCGTATTGTAGGAAGGTAATAAGTCTATCAAGGCAAATTTTGGTGTTAAATACATATTCTTAAGAATAGTTCTAAGTTTGTTTATTTACCTTGTGCTTTCTATTAGGGGTTCTAAGTTTTTTTATTGCGTATGATCGAGAGTTACCGCCAAAAAGTTTAGTATAGATATACTAATAAGACGAAACTTATCAATTAATATAATTTTATAAAATAAAAAAAAGTAAAAATAAAATAACAAATTTTGAAATTCGTACCTCAGTGTCTCTCATTAATACATCTAATGGTTTACTTTTTATAAAACTACTTTTGTCAATTTTTTGCATATAAATTTCACTTCCATTTAGCTTCGTAATCTAAAACAATAAATTATTAGCCTTTAATTGAAAACAAACTTTAGCAGCAAATTTTGATTTTACCATATCAAATTTTTCAAGGATTTTTTTAAATCCCGCATAATTAATATTCTAAACAATTTTTAAAAAAAATTTAAAAATTATAACAAAACAGTTAAAATAGCATTATAACTAATTAAAAAATTACTCGATAATTCTTCAGCATTTCTGCGCCTCGGTAAAATTCACAAATAGCCTTTTTCATTCTTTTCCTCGCGTCTTTATAATCAAATGCAACTGACAATTCATTTGTGGATGGAACAGAGTTATCATTATTGTCACGTTCTTTAAATAGCTTGGAAGTCCAATCGCTACGAGGCTAAAAAAAAGAAAAAAATATATATGAATAAAAGAATATCACAATAAAATCATTTCCAATATATGGTTTGCCAAAACATACCGAGTTTGATTGCTTGACATTTTTCAAAGCTTTTAAGTCTTCATATGCTTGATTTATTTTTTTGAAATGTTCTTTTGCATTTAATACCTTTTCTATCACAAATAATTGTGTAAAATATAATTAGCTTTATGGGTTTTTATTGTACAATTGAAAATCGTGAATTATGTAAATCTTGGTTTACCTTCATAAAATTCACTAATTTTTTTTAATTCTATATCTAAAGCCTCGAAAAATGCTATTTCATCAGGTTCTAATTGACTTTTAATCGCATCAATCGATATTATTGGAAGTCTTTGACCTAAAATAATTTGATATATATATATATATATTAATAAGAAATTTAAAATGACGTGAAATAGTTGCAGAGATTTACATGATTTGTTTCTCATTCGAGAAGGTATTCTTGTGTGCATTGAATGAGTCCGTCTAAAAGAATTTATTTTGATCTTCAGTGGAGTAAGTGGGGGCCTTACAGGGTCAGAAAGATTAGGTTTGATACTTTCAAGATTTGGATTCTCATTAATCTCGTCTTCCTCTTTAATGGGTGAGAAAGGAAAAGTTTGAAGGCTATCAGAGTGTTCATAAGTAATTGGTGAATCATAAATACTATTTATGGTTCCAAAAAAAGTGGCAGGTGATTCTGGTTCTATATATTGAGCTTGCTGAACTTTTTCTAATTTTGCCTTTAGACCTTTATAGTCGATATATCTAATTTAAATCACAGATATCAAAATTGGATATTTTAGATAATTATTAACTATAAGTAGTTATAAGTATACTTAATTACTTTTTTCTCCACTCAGGTACTGATTCAGTTTGAAGCAGTTTACCAAATTTCATCGTGTTCAAATTTTAATTTTTCTTAAAGATTTTTCTACTTCAGAAATTTTAACCGATTTAAATATATATATAAAAAAAAAATAGTATTATAGTTATACAAAAACAAATGTTTTATTTACGTTTTAAGTTTGTGATCCACCTTATTTGTAAATTAAAATCAGCAAGACACAGACCAGTTGTTTGTTACGTACGGTGCTGGTAATCTAAAAACCTCAATCACTTTATATAGAACGAAAACGACCAGCACATTAGAGATAAACTAAATTCAGTAGCGGCTTATCTTAAGTTCAACCGTATGAATAAAACAACTCCTATTAAGTGCATAATATTCTTGGCGTATTATTTCTATGCCAATCACTAATGATTTAAGAAATTTATTTTCAATGAGCTACTAGTTATGCATCATCTTAACATGGAGATTGAGGTTTTTAAATTTCCTGCACCGTACGTACGTATCTAGTATACCAGGAACGGAGTTTCACGGAAGTGAAACGAAGAGTATGGTTTACAGCCATGATTGATGATGTACGTCCACAAACTCTTGTATTTGGTTGGACAGGCGTGATCGTCTTTCCTTTTCTGATTTTACGGATATTTTCGGGATTTCCTTTGTGAATTACTTATTTATATTCCAAAGTTTCATTTCGATAGTGAAATGCTAACAGTGTGCATCAATAGTAATAGTGTGTGTAAAAATAGTTGACATTGATTTTCATTTATAATATTAACGTGATTCTGATACTTCCCGTAATAATTAGCACAAAACCACAAACCGTAGTGCAATTCTGTCATCGCTATAATTCCGTTATACCGCAATGAAAGATCAAGAAAATTTTAAAATTCATTGATAAATTGAGAAGGCCACTAGAATTCAAGCTAGTTTAAGTGCTTATGGGTATTATGTCCATACCATTAAAGATCTATGTCTGCCCGCATTAAAGTGATCTGATTGGCAATTGGACCACGTGCGACTTGTTATCTGTCTACCTTTAGAGATTTGATTGG